TGTAAACGCTCATTTGTGTAGTGGCTTTAACTTGAATATGTGCATAAGTTTTACGTTTGTTTTTAACCTTTAATTGTTGGGCCAAGGACACCAAGTTCCCCCATTTCTGAGATGGTGGAAATCTGAGGGGTAAAAACAAAAAAAGGAAGAAAAAACATATTGAAATGCAGACCTCAACAGGAACTGTTAATAATTAGTTTTCTTGTGATAAATAATCCTAACCCTCTTTCACCTACGTTCATGCCTGTTGCAATCAGGATGCGAGGCATAAGTTTTTCTTGGCAGTAGTTGCTGAAGGTGTCTCAGATCATTATTTCTTCCTCCGTCAGCTGACACTCCAGATCCACAGGGTCCTGCCAGCTGAACGCTACTTTAGCTGAAGGACAAGAATTCGATTATTTCGATAAAGTCAATGGTCATGCATGGTTGTATAACAGCTGAAAAGATCTAATTTGGATCTAATTGATTCGTTAAATATTCTAAATTCACATTTATTTAGTTTAATATATTTTAGTTCACAACATGATTTTTGCTGCCCAATCAAGGTCAGATCAAACACTGTAAAATACTAGAACATGAACACTGGGCATACCATTAATCTTCTGTAAAACATTTATTCTCTCTTTGCGAATAGTCTCATTTTATTCACTATGTTAAATGTCCCCTATGTCATATGAACCTTAATAAAGGGCTTTGCAGCTCTTCAACATGAATTCAACAGCTTTCTTCAGCTTTATTGGCTCTTGCTGGTGTGGGAGATAGGCCATCATGGTTTTTCAAAGGGAATCCGACTCATTAAATTATTCATTCCATTCCTGGAAAAGCTGCATATGACACTTCTGTGTCCGACACTTTCAGCCAATAGAGTTATATAATGGAATATGAGACTGTCTCCCAAAGTTGTACTACTTTAAGGTTTGCTATTGTTTTTGCAGACAGTTCATCAGCACAGATTATCAGTTTTACATTAACATGGGGGCTGCAAGTAATGACTACTTATCTATTTGTATATAAATGATGATGAAATGATATCACCTGTGGCATTCTGGTAAGTGCATATTTATAAACATAGATGTTTTTTTCCATTTTAATAGTGAAATGTATTTATTTGTAGTTTAAGCTGAATTATTACTTTGAGTAGGTTGGTCTTTCAATAAATGGCATGTTTAGATAACATTTTGCTCCATGTTGCAATAATTTGATTGCTTAATTAGTTGACTGTTATGTCAATGTTTAAGCCCCAAACAGGGAAGCTGGTCACATTTATAAATAAAGAGTGATGTAAGCGCACAATAATCCTGGAAGTTAACCTGTTATTTTTAAAATGATGAAGGCTTTTAATGTCCTTGTGTAATCTATTTAAACGTTTTTTCTATACCGTGTGGTGGTTGTTTGTCCTGTCGATTATAATAACAGAGAAATGAAAAACTGGAGTCAAATTCCTTGTTGGTTCACAAAGACTGGGCGTTATAGTTAACTCTTAGTCTGATAAAGGTGTGTGGCTTTATTTGCAACTAATAATGGTTCCACAAAGCATTCAGTTCTCAGAGGGACGTAATATTTGCATGCATCATTCACATTTCTATTTTGAAAATTTCCTTTTTTTTTTCTTTAATTCGACAGCATGTCAATTTAGCATAACTTTCCAATAAAATATATTAATCTTATTTAGAACGATTAAGAATTTTCATTTGCAAGTACATAATGTTTATGATGCAGCTACGGTGTTTAACTACGGAAAAGGATTAGAGCCACTGAAAAAAATAAAAGAAAGTTAACTGAATTTAAAATTTTATTTCAGTATATTATGAGAAAAAAGTTTTTTTCTCAGAATTCTGACTTTAATCTCAGAATTTTGGATCTTAATGTAAATGGGCACCATGAAGGAAGAGATGTGGGAGCACTCAGCGTCACTGACAAAGATGTGAGTTGTTTGAGAGGGCCAGAAACACATTGGTGGAAAATGGTGGAATTAGGTGACTTTTTATGTGCCCGAGGGGTCCCTGGTGATGATATTTGATTACAGTTTTTTCTGATTGCTTAAGCACATTTTTTGTAACTATTGGCTATTTTTGCAAAACTCTACACACAAATAAGAAAACCTTTCACCCAATTATCAAAACATTGCAGTTATCTTACAAAAGCGAACACAGCTAGATTAACTCTTCACACCTTTGTAAAAATGGTGTATTTATATCAAACATTAAACACAAGCCATCATCTACAAAGCACACAATGTGCCAACTACACACTGATGGTATGAATACAAAACACATCTGGCTTTCTCTTTCTCTGTTTACAGATGTCAATTTGAGGTCATCGTTTTTTTTTGTCATAGTGTCATGTAAACATACAAGGATCCAAATTTCAAGTATTGCTGTTTATTCACACTCATCAAAACCAAGACAAAGTCAGAACACAATATAGTAATTTCACAAAAAACAAAAAAACAATCAGCCTACATCATGTCGTCTTTCTGGGTCCGGCCACAAAATTTCGTCCACATCGCATGCGATATCCTCCAGTCCAAGGCACCGGGGAAATTATCTCCTTGAATGCCGTATCCAGGCCTGACATGATGCCTGGTCAATATCTCCACATGCCTCCTCCATTGCCTGTAAAAGGGCTACCTGTTGATGAGGATGACGGTCGTACACTTTCCAGCGCCAGACAGAGAAGAACTCCTCAATGGGATTTAAGAATGGAGAGTATGGAGGGAGGTTGAGTGCCATGAAGAATGGGTGGTCTGTAAACCAGTTGCGGACCAAAGCAGCCCTATGGAAACTAACATTGTCCCATATGATGACATATCAGGTATGCTCTGGTCTCTGAATAGTGATCATGTCATGTAAGGTGTCCAGGAATGCAATAATGTGTGCAGTGTTGTATGGGCCTATGGTTGCATGATGGTGAACAACACCATTTTGGTTTATAGCTGCACACATGGTTATGTTACCACCACGTTGTCCTGGGACATTGATGATGGCATGGTGTCCAATAATTTTCCTGCCGGGTCTCCTGGTTTTACTGAGGTTAAAACCGGCTTCATCTACAAAAAGTAGCTCATGTCCCATGGCATCTGCTTCTAGTTCCATCACTCTCTGGACAAGACAAAACAAATGCATCAAATCAGGCCAATGCACAGCACTACAGTATGCACTTCCAAATTCAGAACCAATGACACTATAGCTTACCTGCACATAGTCATATCGCAGTTGCTTTACATGTTCTGTGTTTCTCTCGAAAGGAACTCTGTAAATTTGCTTCATTCTTATTCTGTGGCGTGCAAGTACACGACTTAGTGAAGAAATGCTTATTGCCTATTTTGAAAGATGGTGTCATTATCAATTATTATTATTTATAGTGCTTAGCTGATTGCAAAGTGAACTAATTATCTAAAACAGTTTTCACATGTGAAAGTGTGCCAGACAGTTG